ATACCATCGAACGAGGTAACCACTGGAAAGAAGAAAAAAAACAATGAACCCACGTATAGAATTGCCATGCCACCCCAAGAAGCTTCAGAAAAAGGCCACACTTTACCATCACTGAATTATATTAAAGTTACAACTTATAACTACTTTCCAGCCTGGGTGTCTAAATGTATCTAACAACGTCCCATTTCTCCATTTCAGGCCAGACCCCGGCTCGGCACGCCGTGACCGGGCCTGGCACACGGGTGGGCATCTCGAACTTCTTCGCGCTGCTCCTGGTGAAGGCCTCAGAGAGGTGTTGGAACGTCCACGTGCGGGGCTGAGGCCTAGCTGCATGCCTCGCTTCTTTCTCCCATAAAGAAGCGCGGTTCAAGGATGCTTTGTTCCCCAATATATGATTCACATAAGAAGAACATCAAGCTCAATGTTCCAACCCATGATTTGTTGACAATGCGGATCGCTGGTCTAGCCATGATCTTTGACCGACATTGCCTAGTAGGTCTTCCCCAAGGGTCTTGACTTCTCCCCTGCTTTGTTTGGTCCATCAACCCTTGGGCAAGGCACGCCATGCTGCGCCATACATATTCATCCAAAAAAGAGTGTGTCATAGTGTATCTCCACCACTAGTATCTGGTCTTTGTGAAAAGACATCGCCAACAAGCTGCTGGAAAAATACCTCTCCTTCGGCCCAAGTCGCAGCTTCTGTGCTCTGCTCCTCCAGGCCCACCTAGAGCCAACTGAGATCGAGTTGAACAAATGTTCTGGCATCAGCGGTTGGTGTTTTGCTGCAAATGAATGCACATTGCACATTGCGTATACTTTGCGGCAAACTCTTGAGTTTGCCCAGAAACAGGCATGAGTTGATGCTCAAGAGATTGATAGCACAGAGCGATCTTCTCAGAGTGCACGAGCGAGATCCTTTCCATCAAAAATACGTGTGAGGGAAGGCCTGTCCGCACCACACAGGCCTTAAGTCTTTCACAGATCAGTCCGCACCTGACTCTCGAAGTGTTTCCAATTTCTGGTCCGTCCCTCTGTTGTGGTTTAGAAAGCAACTGCGCGATCTCGAAACTCGTTGATTTCAACCCGTGCAGAGGGACGACACCGGACACGAAGGAAGGAATGTTCGCGTTGCAGTGCGGCGCAGAGCTCTCGGTCTCTCGAGCCCCGCCTGAACGATCAGGACTCCGGTCTCCTAAGGGATGAGGACGAACGCCAAAGCTGCGAAAAGCCACGAACGCGGAGGAAAAACAACTCAAGACTCCTGAGAAATCTGATGTTCTGGTAATTTCAAACCTCTAATAGTCTGTGTTTCTTGGGAATTCATATTGTGAGCTAATGTCAACGATCATGGATGATTTCTATTGGTTCTTGACATGGTCTAGTGCGGATTTGCACTTTGCGTGCGGTATGACAGCCCCCTTGGGCCAGTGGATTAGTATATACATCGCCAAGACGGTCAAGCCTGCTTCCCGAAACTCCTTGTGGTAGTTTGACACTTAAAAAAATCGAATGTCTGCATGTCGCTCGAACACCCCCGAGCGCGTTGGCTAAGATCCCAAAGCTTGAGAACATCCATGAAAATCCCAATAGTCTGTCCACTGGAAAATGCTCCAAACCTAAAAACACTCTGCTTCCAACAACTGCAACGCTCTGAGCTTCAGGGACCCTAGGATCCAATAAATCAACACACTGGATAACGGGATCCAGTATGCCCCCAAGACTCAAAACTTCCAACCCCAAGCCTAAGTAGTTTCTGGTTAAGGAAAGAACACAGAACTACAGAAGATGGGATGCCTTACCAAAATGTTCGCGTCTTTAAGCATTCAGACCAGCTGGCTTGTGACAAGTCCTTCGCCACGCCCCAATGGATATTGTGCAATGTTCACCATCTCCCGTATGAGGAAGGATCCATCAACACTGACGCCCCTCATCAAATGCCCTCTTCATGATATGTTCATGATTGTTCACGGTCTCTCTGACCGATTGGCCCCCATGTTGCTATGTTCGCCTCCCTTTTCAATGACCCACCAGTCCCTTTCATCTTCCATCACCCAAGATTCGTCCACAAAATAAGAAAATAAAAAACAAAAACAAAAAGGATGGCCGTCCACGCGGGCGGCCGTCCTCATGTGATGCGCAGACAGTGTGTTTCAAGTGAAAACCGCTGTGAAACCCCGGTGCGACCCCGGTGCGACCCTCGTCCTCGTCGTTGCGGAGCAGTTTCAACTTGCAGGGCTCCACCTGCTCCGCCGAGCTTTGGACCTCGGGATCCAGCGAGCTCGAGGCTCCGATGCGTCGCGAAAAGCCTTTTCTCGATCTGTGAGTCGTCTGAGAAAGAGAAGTAAACATTGAAGCAACTCTCCGAGTCGTTGGTTGATGATGTTCTTTGTTATATGTTGTTGAATATGTTTAGATGTGTTAAACTATGATCTCTCACCCAACACCACGGAACCAAGGCGACTTGGCTTTGGCACAACCGTGCTTCCATTGGGATGTCTGACCCCAAATTCGCAGCACTCACCTCGCGGAGCAGCTTCAATCGCAATCTGAGAACTCCAGAAGTTCTGTCTGCTCTAGACTCTAAGGATTTAGCCCACTTAGTGTCGCCACAAAAACCTAAGCTCAATGGGATGAGACCCAGAAGCCCACCACTCCAGCCAGGCATGCAGCTTTTTGCTCCAACTCAAGCCCAAGAACGAGCTGGTCTTTGCTCAGAACTTCGCAGCTTATGAAGACATGTCCCACTTCGATTGGTACCAGCGTTGACTTCAGGAAAATCACACTGATGCACACAGAACAAATTGCATGACTCCAAAGTGTCCAGATTTCGTGATCTGATGGCAACAAGAGGCATTCAGCCCATCTTTGGTACTCAGTCATCAGCCAGCTACCGAGTCACGAGGTCGAAACGGACAGGGAAGCGCAGAGACAAACTCGTTTCCCCTTACTACGGCCTCTCAAAAACGTCCAAACGTAGCGCCTTCTGACTGAAGCATTTCTCATCCTCCATCCAATTCCCCTGCCCTTTTCAAGGCTCATGAAAGTGGGTACTCGTGCGAAGGCCACCAACCAACGAATTAGCGCCGGCTCGAGAGGAACGAGCCACCTATCGAGCCCAGCGCGAAACCGCCGAGGAGCGAGAAACCGCGCCCTCAGAACCGCTGTCACGTTCCCGCGAAGCGCGTCGCGTCGCAACGCGCGTCACAGTCTACGGGGTGTCGGGGACTTGGTCTGGACCCTCCGATCCAAAAAAACGTCAGATGCGATGTCGTAGCGCTGTGCTGCGCTGTGTTGATCCAGGAAAGAAACTGCCAAGAATAAGGAGTTCACACCAGGCTTCATGAGTATGGATGAGTATAGTATAATCCTCTGAGAGACCGATTGCTGTATCGAAGGTAGCATTTTGGAGATACTATTCGAGCCCTTGCAATGTGTGATCATTGATGGAAAGTGACCTGAATGTTAACGATTGGCACGATTCAATTGGACCCTTCTGAAGGCGCGAGGGGATCTTTTAGATCGTTTTGTATATAATATAGTTATATATATATACTTTTGGGGCTTGTGACCGTAATTTCGGGGGTAGCTACCCACTCACATCCAAAAGAGTACTGCCCTCAAATGACTGGCTTGATCACCGGTCTGCGTGTCCAAGTGAGGCCAGTGGATCTCCGACATCCAGCCGCACCCCGACGATGTGATGCCAGGGACCCTCAAGGTGTCCTGGGAGTCCTGGATGGGCTGTGTTTCTTGTCACAAGCCCTGGATGCTCACTGTGCAACCGCAACTGAGAATGGGATGATCCAGCTAGAAGTTCCAGCATCTCATTAAGAACAATCAACCCTCCAGTCAAGAAGTATATGATATGCGATCATTATGCGTGTCTGCTAGAAGCAAATGAGGGACGGCCAAGATCAACGAAAATGCCCTGGAGGAAAACTGTCCGTAAGTGGAGGACGCCAGCTCTTGATTTGAGTTGGACCATTCTTCGTACCAAAATCAAACAAGCTCTTCGTCCAAATCGTCTGAAGCCTAGCCAAGTCAAAGAAGATCATCCCAGCCCTACAACTCTGCCAACTTCACCGGTCGTGCTCGGTCGTGCTCACTCATAGAGGAGGCGCAGTGAAGCCAGCAATAAGACCACCGTGAGAATGGTGAAAACCTCGATACGGCCACATGAATGACCCCCAACAAAATGCTTAAATTAATTAATTAACTATATATATATATATATTCATGTTATAAATAACTCTATATATGTCTATGTTCTATTATATCTTGTAAATTAATATATATATATATAACTATATACCATTCCTAAAATCTGCTCAAGTTAAGATTAACTCCTTGGAAACCCTGTCTTGGAGGGATTTGTAGGTGGTGTCAGAACGTGTCGGATCCCTCAGATAACTTCATTGTGTGTGTGTGTGTCTTAATACCTGAGGAGGCGTGACACACTCAGTTGACGCATGGGGACGTGATTGAATCACCAAGCTACACCAGTTGACATGGCATACTGTACGATCTTGTCCTAATGACGTACGGCCCCGAGGGCCGCTTGGGCCGCTTCGGCGGTGCGCCGGGCCGCCGAGGCCCGAAGGCGTGCGCTGCTCCCACGGCGCAGCATGGCTTCCTGGGCGCAGCAGTGGCGGTGGGGCGGAGATCACTGGGAGTGAAATCAGTGTCAACATGCTATGAGGAAACCACATGACATGGTTGATTGAAAGGCCATTCCACGTCCAAAAAAGTACCAACGATGGCAGTTGAACTAAGAAATGGATGCCAGTTGCAGACCGTACTTCTGCAAAGTTCAACATGTTGATGATCAACCTAATGTTCCATAGAAGCGATTTGAGTCTGCGCATCTTAACATTCTGTATTGAATGCTGCATGCAGATGCAAGTAAGTAAGAGGGACCATTGTTGCTTTTGTGCGGAATCCTGCAGCAGAAACCCGTAGCCCTGCCGATTGTCGAGATCTCAGTCTTCCTGCAATTTTGCCCTGTTGCTTGACAACACTTCTTCGAACAAGTCCAGTGCTTTGAGTTCCCCGTTCGCCAGGAGCAAATTGGAGGGCCAGGAAATTGAGCTTGTTTGTGGGCTGGTAAGCAACCAATTGATCAAAGCAAAATCACCCAATCCTCGGTCAAACACTCTGGAAGTTCAGCGATAGTGGAATAGGGAGGAAGGGCCTCTTCTACTCACCAACGAGCATACCTCTTCAACTGTGATGCCTCTCAAGCATCTTCAAGCCATTCACTTACCACATCCACATTGTTTTCAGTTGAGATCCTCCCGCGCCCCCTCCCGTCGCCCCACGTTTGGGGAAACCCCAGCGGCTGCGGTGGCCACTCCCGCGCAAAAGGCCAGCAGCGCCAGGCCGTAGCAGCGAAAGAGCCGTCGCGGGCGCCCGAAGCAGCGGGAGTTCAGCAACTCCGCGCGGCGGAGGAGAGAGGAAAACGGGGCGCCTAGGCCGCCCACGCGGGTCCCGCCGGTGAACCAGGCGGCCGCAAGTTACGGCCGTGTACCGGCTTGGGCAAACCGCCGCCAAGCATGGTGGGGATGTGAGTTGGTGAAAAGCGCCACCACTTGTAGGCGCTTTTGGTAAGATCTCCAGAAGATGAGAGCACGACTAGCTTTGTGTCGTGAGAACTGCAAAGAAAGAGGGCGATTCAGGGAAAATTGATGTGTGAACTCCGTTGGAGGACATGGGTGAAGTCTACAAGTCACCTTGGATGTTCGAGGGTCATGTGATACTAATTTAGACATATTTAGACCGTTGATTAACAACGGCCCCATATCAGAATAGTTTTACATCTACAGTATATGGGGGGGCTTTAGGGAGTCTACATACCCACAAGCTCATGGGCTTTTGAGATGCAGACCCACACCTTGAGGCTCCAGCCTTTTGACCCATGAGAAAGCAGGCTATTTCAGCCCATCTGAAACGCTCAGCTCGGGCTTCACTGGTCCCCACCCCCTCCAAGTACTCAATTCATCCAGCCTGTTGTCTCAATCTCTGGGCTGCAGCTGGCATCTTCACCTTTCATGGAGAATGGCAGGACAGACAGACCCCTTTGGTCCCATGTGGCAGAATGGCAGACAGACCCCTTTGTTGAAAGAGCTTTCTTGAGACCCCTCAGACCCCCACCCCTCTGGTCCCAGACCCCTCGGGTCCCACACCCCGCACGCACGACAGGACGAAGAAGAAATCCAACGGACGATGCGTGGACCACCAGGACGAGTCGTGGTGGTCAGGTGGATGCCCACCACTTCTCGGAGCTCAGCAGTTGAGCTGGTCTCTCTATGCTGGTCCTAGTTCTCAAGAGGTCCTTGGACCCTCGTGGTGGTGAAGCGCAAATAGAGGACAAGGGGGGTTCATGAGGTCAAGAGCATGACCTTCTCTTCATTGCATCAGGGGAACTGTTATAAACTGTTTGTCAGCACTTCACACCAGTCAAACCAGTGTTGCCTGGATTGCCTACCACATCAGACTACCCGCCAACGTCCTTCTTGAAACACTGAAGGACAATCTAGTATAGTATAGTGATCTGCTTCCCCCAGCAACTGGGAACACATGGCTGTGGGTCAAAACCGGGGTACCGCTTGACCACAGAGAATGAACAGAATAGCCCACCAAACATGGCCAACATAAGCGGGTGAAACAGGCTCCAAGTGTTGACCCGCAGCCACATGGTGCCATTCTGCCACAACAACAACCCCCGCCTTTCCAGCAATCTGGGCCGCTGGAGCATCCTGCAAATCGAAGCGTTTTGGTCTCAGGGATCAATGATTCCTCCAGATTCCAAGGCTTGGAGTTGGAACAAATGTGGAAACATTGACCATGTACGAAGATTGTATGTTTATGTCTTTTTCTGGCAGCGTGTGTTGTGCTCCATGTGTTTGAAGAAGGAACTACTTCTCCATAAAAACAACAGGAATGGAATGTACTTGGACAGACCCACTGATATGTGGGTGCGAAACTCACTGTGTCGTGTTATCTGCACGTGCTAGAATTGGATTGTTGTACCACCTCACGGTGAAAAATAAGAAGTCCTCGTGTGAGGTGGCTGGCAATGATGTAGGGATCAGCATGACTACGCAGCAGGACCTCCACCTTGAGGTCCTGATCTTCTTCTGGCCTGGCACGGTATGGGCGTGCACTAGCCATCTTCCCACCCAGCAGGGATTGCTCATCAACGGAAGAGTGGAGTGAAACGGAAGCGAGAGATGTCTCAGGGATCAAAAAGCAAAGGGTGGGAAGGCGGCTGTTTCCAAGTTTGTTCAGACAAAGTCAGAGGATGTTCCTTTTCTTCTCTTTGGAAAACCTGAAAGTGTTCATGAAGTGAGTCTGTCGTTTGTCTTCTGGTGCCGCAGTCCCTGAGTATGGAGCAAGAGAGGGTGAGAAATGCCTAAAAAGCCTGCTTGTCTGTCTACACTCGCAGGTTCCAAATGATTGTGGGCCTGCACAAACTGGCCAGTGTAGTGACATGCAGTGACTCTAGGAACGTCCTAGTCAAACATTTGGCCACGAAACACACCTACGTACTTTTCACGTACCATAAGATCCATGGGTTCCTCATTGCTCCTCATTCTCCGGCATTCTCACACCCCACTCCGTCCGGATTCCGACGAACCGATGGGTGCAGGAACTCCTCGTGGCTGGCCCATAGACGGCCGCAGGTTCCTCGCAGCCCAGGACCTCCGTGGCGCAGTCGAACGCAACGAAGACAGCAACGAAGCCAGAAGTGACCACCCGTTGCGGATGGGCATGTGGTATTTTGGTTGGACTCTCCACTGTGGTGAACTGGGGATCACCGTCATTCAGCATACATGTGACCACCGAATACATGACTGATCCATCGACCAACACCACCTTCGGTGTTGAAGAAGAAGTCTGCTGGATGGCTGGATGGTGCAGAAACTGCCACCATGGGACATCATGGGACGTTACCCACCTGTGAACAGCATGGAAACTCTTGGATGATATTGAATATGAATCATACCGTGTCCAACAAGTGCCCCCCATGTTTCTGAGCCTTCAGCTGGTCCACCCGCCTGGTCCTCCTGAAGCGCTCCCCCAACCCTTCACGAACATCGCCAACCTGGTCTCCGGCCTCAGCTCCATAGGGTCCCTGATGCCCTGGGAGTGCGTAGCAAAGCCGCCGCGGCACGTGGACCACACCTGCCGAAGACGGACCGACCGACCGACCGACCGACCGCGTGGTGTGCCGTCTCCGAACGGAGAGGTCTTTCGCTTCGCAGGCGGAAGCGACTGGGGTCCGCGAGCTCCGCGAGCTCGTCGCTGTTGAAGGAAGGAAGGGTTGGGGAGGAAGATGGATGGCCCATGATGGCCGGACCCTTTGATATATGGTTTCTCTAAATCAAACGCCCAATATCTAAAACTTGACCTGGAACCCAATCTTTTAGGATCAACAGCCTTTTTCAAGAAGCCATATGCAAACACTTTCTTTCCAGCTGGTCCCTGCCACAGCAATGGAGTCATCCTCCAAAGTCTCTCTGTGGTCTCTGTGGAGTCATACCCGGATTCCCTCCATGACTTCGCCAGCTGATCTTGCTGGCCTCCCTTGTTGAACCTCCGCTGTCACCGCTTTTTTTCGCCGACCTCTTCGCCCAACGTATCCGGGCGACCTCTTCTCCGACGGACGACGGACGACTGGACTGGCCTTCCACTTCACGCAGCAGATCGACCTCGTGCCGCAGCAGGGTTTGACCATCCAAATGACTCACCTGGCGGAGAGGGACGGAGCGTGAAAACGAGAAATTCCACAAAGAATCGCTGGGATGGGACCCACCATTTTTTTCCTTGATGTTTTTTTGTTCCAACTGTTTGGAAGAAAAGAACCATGTTTGATCATGTTTGGGACTTTCACATGCTGTCACATGCTTGCACCGTCTTCACTGTGATCGCTCAACGTTCTCTCCTGATTTCGCTCCAGTTTTTCGCCTAATCCACCCAATTCACCCTGCCTGGAGTGTCACCTTCGGGGCCTCCAAGTACACTTGCTCCAAAGCCTCGCGGCTTCGCTCCGGAGCCGGGCCGTGTCCGGAGCAGCTTAACGGTCAGCTGTTGGGAGGTTGAAAAGGGGTCCATGTGTTTGTTCCACATGGAGGAAGGTGGCCAAACACCCCGGAAAAGGACAAGCGCCTAAATCCATATCATGCTTGTCTTCATGGGTGATTCGTAGCCACGTATCCTTTGGATCCCTTTTGGCACAAATAGAAGAGCTGCGCAAGGAACGGCGTGCTATTCAGCTCCGCAAAACGATCCTTCGATTTGGACCCGAGGTTCATATCACCTTGAGTACCGTAAACCGGGGATGAAGGTATCGACTGCGGGGCTTTTCAACCCTCCTCAGGTCGTGGCGCCTAGAGAAAAGCTCACAAAAGCGCTGCTTGGAGGCTCGATCCCATGCTGCACCACTCGCTTGAACGCACCGGAGCCCACAGACAGGAGACTCCGCCCGACTACCGCGTACCGCGTAGCACCTGGCCTCGGGCAGCTTCAAGGGCACTTCAGCGTACCAAAAGCGGCTCAAGCGTTTCTGTTCAGGCACGATGTCCTCTCAAAGACGGAACATTTAAGCGTGCAGCTTTCCCGTGCTTTCCCGTGCTTCAGGCTACCAAAAACGAACCAAGATGCTGGTCCATTGGTCAATCCGTTGGTGTTCAAAATGGGGAGGCCAGGGAAGAAAATCCAATCCAATTAGGTGTTCCAAGTGCCTTTTGTTGAGGTCTCTTAAGAAGGTGCTCGCGCGAGCCGCGCGCACCGCGCAGACCATCCGCGCACCGGCGCCTGCGGCGGGTCAAGGTGTTCTTCACCGCCTGGAAGAAGCGAAGCTAGCGATGGCCTCCAACCTACTAGCTTCTAGCTGCTAGTAGCTTCTTGTTACTAGTAGTAATGGCCTCCAACCTACTAGCGATGGCCTCCATACCCCAGAACCGCAAGACGGTCAACAGACCAAGAAACTCTGAGCTGCGGTTCCCCTTCTCTCAAGATTCCGGGGCAAAACATCGCTGAAACCATCCCGGCCGAGGGAGTTGGAAAACCAACCACCGCGCGTGTGGTTGTGTCGTCTTTGACGTCGTCCGGTTTCTTGACGTTCGTTGGCTAAAACAAGAAGCTCAAGCCACACGTCGCTATCGCCTCCCCAAGAGCCGGTGACGCCAGCCGTCGCGCCACCGCGCGCAACCGAGCTCCCCCACCGAAGGGCAAGTGCTGCAAATCCCCGGCGTCGTGGAAGTCGCTGAGCACTGCTGGGCTCAGGGGGATCTCTTTCAAGGCAAAGCTAAATTTCTCCTGGCGCAGGCAGTGATTCATGGCTGTTGAACCTGCGAACGTAGGGTCCGGTTTGTTCCCGGAATCCGCTGTACAGTAGGGTCCTCGGGTCCCTCGCAAGTCCTGGCAAAGGAGTTCCTTCCCTGAGTTGAAGAATCTCAACCTTAGAAGACTTACTGTAAGAGACTTAAGTCCTTAGGAATCGCAAAGACCCCGCAGCGGCCAAGTCCAGTCCATCGCATCTTCATAGCTGGGTACCCTATGTGAACGTACCCATGAACACATGCGTTCCTCTTTATATAGCTCAAGTAAGTGAAGTCATCACTCACAGAATCTGAGACGATCTGAGACATGGCTGGTGAGATCAAGCGGCTCCTCAATCTGTCACCACTTACACTAGACATGTTGAGATTGATCTTTGGATGGGTCATGATGAGTTTAAAAGATGAGGTCTGACGAGTGAAAGTCATGTAGGCCAAGCGGCAAACCCGTGAAAGAAAGTCCACTTCCTTCTTTCCCTTTGAAGCACCCTTTCACCTCATCTGTTCCAGATTCATTTCATTTCTTCCAAATAGTTTGTCGGCATTTGTTCCTCGAAGTCCAGGATCTGCACCCAACCACTCACGTTCACCGGTAGGATGGGGTCAGACTGACGAATATACCTGAAGGATCGCCGGTTGCGGTTGAGGCGGCGCAAAACGTGACTCCAAAGTGCCAAGGAACTCTGAGACATCTCACTATTCAACCATATTCAACCCCATCTCGAATGCTTGCTTTAGATGAAAGCTCTCTTGATAAATCGCCCACAATCCCGTTGCTACCGACTATAGAAGTTCACCCCCTAATTTTATCCAGAAATTGGTTAAATAACATGACTTTCACACACCAAAGGTCTGCACAAGTCATTTAATCTGAAAATATATCAGAAATGAGAACAACTTTCTCACAATGTTATCTAGAACGACTGGCTAATTTGACAAGTTTGCAAGTCCATCCGTGCCAATCATGTTTATTTAAGACCCATTTCAAATAAGACTTAAACTAAATGAGTCATTTGAGTCAAATAGAATGAGTTTTCCGTGGTTGACCTCACTCATTCGGTAGCAACGGGCATCGCCCGTTGGCTAAACACGGGGGAAAACCTGACCGTGACCGGAACTGGACCGCTGACCTTCCATGTTCTTCGGGAACGACCCATTTCTTTTTGCTGTGATGTCATTTTCAACACAGACTGGGGGCATTGGTTTACCGATACCATTGCGTGTCCACCCTTAACAAAAAATAAAGAGACACGGCACGGGCCAAAAACAAAACCGACGGTTCTGCGCATGGTGAGATGGACAAGAGAAGACGAACGAGCACGCCGTGTGTGAGGCCCTCTCGCCACATGCAGTTTCTTCGACCCCGAGCCACTCGCGGAAGACGGCGATGCGCTCCGCGCGCTCGTGGCCGCCGAAGAGGAGCAGCAGCAGGGCCGAGAAGGCACTGAAGGCTAAAAGGAGATACACCAAAAGGTGCGGCCTGGGAGTCGTGATGGGGATTCCCGGAGTGATGGCGGAGGACGATCTTCGTTGGCTTCACCAAAAACCTCGAAATGGTTTGGGTGAAGCCAACTTGGTAGGACTACTGTGCTGCGTGCGATGGTGCAGAGCTGGTAGATGGGGTGGTTTCGGCAGTGCTTTACTCAATAATCTACCTGGTTTGTACCGCAAGATATATAGAGACTCCCTTCAAGGTCAGGAAGGATCCTGCCAGAGACCTGTCTAGAGGTCTCAGGTCCAGAGGGGTAGAGATCTAGACGTCTTGAGAGAGTGTTAGAGGTCCTGAGATCCAGAGTTTTGAGGTGTAGGAGATCTAGAGGTCCAGAGGTCTTGAGATCCAGAGGTCTGGATGTCTAGGTCTAGAATTCTGGGTCTGAGGCAAAGATCTAGAGATCCAAGAACTCTGGGTTTTGAATCCAACAAAAAATCATGACACTGCAATCAGTCCTCTTTCAAGGATAGTGAGGTCAGGAATCAGCACAACAAACAAATTGTATCAAACGAGCCTCTCAATCTCAAGATTCACACGAATCCGGGACAATCTACACTCCAAAGTGGTTTCCACAGAGACGAGTTTCGGATTCAATCCGAGTTTTGGGCCTCCAGACCGAAAAGACAGCTTCACTACCCCCCATGTAAGGTCCAATAAACATCACCGGTCACAGCCTGGATTGATAAAAGCAAAACGAAGAACACCTGAAACGTCATGGATGTGAAAAAGCTGAGTTGACTTGGACCCTGCCAAGTGTGAGGGAGTGGTCAGGAAATGTGTAAAATTTGCCAAACAGAAAGACACCAATCTTCAACATCGGCCTTTTTCTGAGAGTTCTTTCTGCTTCAACAGGCGCGGTGCCACGAATTCTGCACTCCAAACTTCAAGGTGCACAAATTGCTGCCCCCGGCCACGAAAACGAGCCACGTGTCCAAAAGTCACAATTCACTGCACCACCATGTCCAAAGCACTGCGCCTGCCACGAAATCTGCACATCGAAGTATATAAAACCGCTCCGAGCTCCTGCACCTGCCACGAAAAGGCGAACTTTGGACCACCAAACCTCGAGGTTTCCTGTGACCCTGCCACCAAAAGTGACAACCAAGTCCGAAAATGCGCCCGCTTGGACCCACCAGAGTCTGCGAGCCTGCGCAGTCGAAATGCACAGAACCTCCAATCAGACACGCCTTCACCACGACCGTAAGAACCCCTAGTGTTGCCACACTGCTTAAGGAAAATAGAATTCAGCCGGCGTGGTATATCTCAATGCCTTTCTTTGCGCTGCGCATTGAGGCTGGGTGATGCGACCGCTGACTTTGTGGGTGATGGACCGCTGGAAGCAAGGCGTGGATGGACCGCTGGGCGGATCGAAAAGCACACGGATTGACTCGAAACCCCATTTCTGGGCCGCTGCCAGAACGCTGGGGCAGGGAAAAACGTGGCTCGTCTGTTCTCCATCTGTAACATAGGGTCACATTCAAACCCACTGACTTAGCTCCACTTGTTTTCATCCTCACGACACGACCCATGCCACGACCCACGCCACGACCCACGCCCCGGTGCGCCTCGGGCTCTTCAGCACCGGGCTGGCGACCCCGGTGTGCGAAGACCGGCGCCGTGGACGCTCCGAGTCCTGCGACGAAGTGGGTTTCGTGGGGCACTGGGGCACCTGTCTGTGGATAAAGAACACCCTATATGAATTCAATTTGACCAGAAGATGCATGGAATCATGAAGAAATCCCCAAGTCAGTGACTGATTTTGCTTGGGAAACAAAAGGCAGGACATGTTCGCGCGAACGGACGGACTCCAAACCCATCTCTGGGTTTGGGTCCCCGGCGTCGAACAGTCGGGCCGTTTTTGGTTGACGCGGCTCGGCTTGTGTTTGGAGCCACTCGCAGTGGACGAGCATGGATATATACTCCCAGAAACCATCAGTAATATTTATACTCCCAGATCTATATTTATCAGTAATCAGATAAATATATACTGGATGGATGGATGGAGCCACTCGCAGTGTATATATACTCCCTGAAGCAATCATGGAAGTGGAGAGCATGGCTGAAACAAACAGGGGTGAAGTCCACGTAACCATGTTGGTTGGAGGGAGGGTAAATGACAAAGCATAGAGATACTTGGTGTGGAGTGCTTGGCTCCGCCATCTGACTATCACATGGACCCAAAACGCATAATAGTTAGAGATAGTTAGAGCATGTTAGAGTCATATATAGAGTAATCTTGAGCGATCCTTCCTTTAAGGGTGGTACAGTACAGTATGTGTGTAGACATGTGTACATGCTCCTGTACGCTCCTAGTAGCGATGCCCTTTGTTACGTTCATAGCTTCTTGTTCCTAGTAACGAAACGGTCTTGCTCTTTTCGCCACATCTTGCCACACATCTCACCAACCACGCGATTTGGTCTCCCCGACCCACCTGCTCCCGGTTGATGGGCTCAGCTCCCTCCGGTGGCAAGTGAGTCGGCCGCGGGAGCTTCTCCTTGCGATCGAGGTGAGCTGACACAACCCGCGAGCGGCAGTGAAACACGTCGTGTTTGCCCGGTTCTGCTGGTGGCTTCTTACCACAACAAAACACCCGAAACAAAGGTCCAAGGTGTTCCAATGAGTGTCTGGGAACAGCTCTTTCCAAATCCTTGGAGACACTATGATATGAGCCGCAAACAGATACTGGCTCCTTCAGTTTCCCTGGAAAATAAAGGCTATATAACTACCTTGTTCTACTTGTTTAGTGGGGACACCACTCCCAAAAGCAGGTTCTATCCACTGACTAGGTATGGATAGAAGTTCGTAGATCCCCCTCAAAATGTTTTGGAAACCGTTTCTACAGTATCTATTTTGGGGCTGGTGCTGTCAGCTCGTTGCGCTAGACAGCCGTTTTATCTACCATTGAATCAGAATCTTGAATATTGGCCTATTGGCGCATTCTACACAAAGTTAGATAAATACCAGTTAAGAAAATAAAGACGAGAGGAACTCCAGTGCTGCAATGTGGCAGTGAGGGGTGAGTTGTCTTATTGTTTGTCATTCCTGCAATTTGGTCAGCTCCAGGTTGAAGCAGCAATCGGACAATTTCCAAGTGGCCTTTGTAGGCTGCAAAGCACAAAGCCGTATCACCATCTGTATCTGCTGCGTCTTTGTCAGCTCTAGCCTCGAGCAACAATCGCACAACTTCCAAGTGGCCTTCCCCGGCTGCAAAAGGGGGGGTAGCGCTGCGAGTGTCCCAACCTGTCGCGGGTTAAGGACACGCAAAGCCACTCGCTAGGCAGAGTCCTCAGGGAGAGTACAAGCTGCCTGCAGGTTTCTACGCCGTAACTGTAACATGGGACCTTCGTGTCGGATGTTCCCCATTTGCCCTTGATCCAGGTGTCGTTGCTGCATCTTTGTCAGCTCCAGCAACCAGCGGATAGCTTCCAAGTTGCCGTCCCTTGCTGCAATATGCAAAGCCGTATCTCCAGCCTGGAGCAACAATCGCACAACTTCCAAGTGGCCATAGTGCGCTGCATGGTTCAAAGCCGTATCACCATCTGTATCTGCTGCATCTTTGTCAGCTCCAG